CAACCTGGCAGCAAAGTACTGCTTGGCTCCTCCGAGGCCAACAGCAACCAAAATTTGAGCATTTGCTGTCACTGGACTCACACTGCTCTTCTAGAAGACAGAATTTCTCTTACCTATTTAATATGTACTAGTACTTTTCTTTCATACAAGTGCGAGACAGAAGGTGGGGACATGGCTCAAGATTACATGCCATGCTGAGGGGGAGCTGGAAGAGACCTGAGGAAAAACACAACTGTATTAATGAAGCATATGCTTGCAGCCACAGCACTTCTAATGCCAGGGGTCCCATTAGAGCCACAGCTGCTTTCTGGAGCCTGATAGAGTAATTGCAGCATCTGTGTTGCCATCTCTGACTGAGCTGTGGGTCAATGCCCCCTCCTTTCAAAAACAGCAATCAAAAGTTATCTTCAGACCACTTTATTGCACTAAGCTTGACTTCACAGCACAGCAACATCCATAGTCTGGTATCTGCTGCCCTCCCCTGCTCTGTCAGCATAACATGAAGAGCAAGAACAGGGAGCTTTTTCCCTCTCTCCCCCTTCCTTCTGTAGAGTATGGACACAACATGGCTGCTAAATTCTGCTAGAATATCCCCAAGGAGGCCTGGGAGCTGACTAACAAGCTAACAAGGTAGTAGGAGGGAGGAGTGCCCTGTCATAGCCAGCCTGCCCTCTGTGTGATGCTAAAGTCAAGTTCCCTTTTGTATTCACCCACCCCCAGAACCTTTGGCCGCTATAACACAAAGGCAGCAACACCTGTTTGGCACAGCTCTCAAAGGGGAGTTCCTTCTCTCCAAACCCTTCTGCAGTCTCCATTTGAACCACTAGAGTCCATTCCTACTATAGCTCCAAACTTTCTTGTCATTATATCTGCTTTTTTTCCTGCCCATGGGAATTTAAGGCTGAGGAGAGGCTGTGGCCAACACAGAAGACAGACAAGGCAATTGCCAAGTGCCATTTATTATGAACTTTGAGAACTGGCAGCTCTGAAACAGAGTGACTGCAAACTTGTGGAGGTAGAGCTGGATTGGTTTGGTATTCAACTGGCACTTAGACACTTTCCATCAATACCATAGACTAAAAAGTTTCCTAAGAAAACAAAGAAGCAAAGTGTAAATTTTGAAAATGTGACTGGGTAGAGACAGTCAGTCTCTCCTCAGGCTGTGCAGACCAAGTTGACCATAGTAAACTCCCTTGCACTCTAACCTTTTCCTAAACAAAAAGGTACAGAGGACTCAACCAAGCCAGTCTTTAGATGGTCTTTTCCCACACATGAAACAGTGGACATGACTCAGGAAGAATCTTGAGGTATAACTAAGGCAGAATTTAGCCAAGGCAGAGCAAAGTACATAAGGTGACTGGGGGAAGGAGGGGGCAGAATACACCTTAAAACACCGATACAACTTTGAATTGGTACACAAATGGCTCAGACAGATCTGCTCCATTCCCCACTCACTCTCAACACAATCATAAGACCAACTTCAAAGAAGTCAGTTTCTTCAGTACGCTTTTGTTTTAAGCCATACAGTTTTGTCTTCCCCATTTCTACCTGAATGTTAAACTTTTTTTAGGAACTTTATCCCAGTATCCAAGGCCTTTTGTGTGAAGGTCAATAACAAGAAACAGTCCTCAGCAGGCTTGCAGTTCCTTGCTCTTGTCATTCGAGTCACAACTCTGCTTGACACCAGAGTGAAGGGGTTGGTTTTGTCTCCAGAAGCTACAATTTTAAAAACACCGTCAAAAAATAATGCTTCTGATCAAAAAGAAAAGCAAGCATGGGAAACAGTGAACATTTGTTTAGCTTCATAGTTCTGGAACTAAATGTTTAATTTGTTGTTCCTATGCAAATGCCCCCATAGTTTCAAACAGGTATGTATTCTCCTCCAGCCCAACTTCTTTACATGTAAACATGATGCAGTGTTTGCTCCAACACTATTTTTACCCAACTGACTGCATGTTATGTGATCAACAACTGCTTGATGAGTTCTGGGACCTTGAAGGTCACAGTTTTATTTACCTATCAGCCCTGGAAATGAGACAAAGGGGAAGGGAGTAGAAGAAAGAAAGACTGAAGCCAAGTTAAATTCTATTTCAAGTGAATTTATTGAGTTACAAAGAACCTGCCAGCTCCACCATATTTACAAAGGTTTTCAAGAGGATTCTAGAGCTATTACTGCTACTGAACCACAAGTTAAAGATGCATAAACAAACCAAATCAACCACATCCATAGTGTCAACTGTAGAAACACCAGTTACCTTATAGGACTTTGAGGCATACTCAATCAAACATGGGGAAAATGTTTTCCAACCACTAATTTCTAAAGCCACCAGCAAGATTCTCATTTCTTCCTCTAATATGGCTATGCCTGAAGATCAGGCATCTTTATGCCACTGTTGATGGAAGTTGGTTTCTGATCTTCAATATACACATTTTATGAATCAGGAATTTAATTAGAAGGCTCTTCAGAAGCAAGTATTACAAGGTGTTAAAATAATCTTAAAGAGCACAATGAAATCCCCACTTGGTTCCATCTGATACTTTTACGAGGTAGTATTGCTGCCAGACATGCATGTAAAATCCTGTCATCACTTTGGAGTCACAACCAAAGCAAATGAAGTCAAACTTCCCAGGGCACTGTCACTATTTATGTCTCAAGCAGCATTGTAGAAACAATGTCACCTGCAAACATCACGCTGCTGTTCTTTTCTTACTGTCCATGACTCTTTGAGAGTGTTTTCAGTCAATTTCATCCATTCAGCTGCAAGAAGAAATATTAATGCTCTCTACATTCAGTCATCCATCTTTCCATTCCCCACTCCATCCCCAGAAGAGATCATGAATTCTCTAAGAGACGGGGAGGAAAGAGCGTATCTCCCACTTCAGCTGGGTTCGTTTCCACGTATATTCCAGCTGCATCTCAAGTCCTGAAGAAGTTCCACATTACAATACCACAATACCAAAGGGATATGGATACTGTTAGCCAAGGCCTGTAAGCCCACACATCTGGATGCATGCAGTTCCCACTGACAACAGGTGGCTCTGCTTGCCTTGTTAATAAGCCTACAGTAATTTTTACTTGATCCTGAACTTCACACATTGAATGTTTGGGGAAGGATCTAACTACTTGAGTGCCAGTGACCCTCCTCAGGGCATTGACAGGTGAACATTTGCTGATCAACAACCTAATTCCATAACACGGACTTGTAAAGTATCAACTAAGATTCAGAGTTACTCTATGCACAGAAAACTAAAAACCCAGAAAGGAATAAGTCAGTGTCAAATAGAGTAGCAGGAAAGCTGCTAATAGTATTTCAGAGAAAAAACACTGAAATATCCTTGCTTGTACAAAGCAAGAGGAAGCCTACCAGCTTTATGTTTAAAAGAGAAACATATAACTTTGTTTCTACTGCAAGGGCTACAAAAACAAAACCAAAGAGAAGCCCAAGCATCATTCATGCAAGAGAAATTACCATCTAGCAAGAGGTCTTTTTATAGAGTATGTACTACACTAACGCGAGCCAGCATCAGACCTGGAAAGTCTACCTCCATATAACAGGAGACTGTTAAAGGCACACCATGCTGTCACACTGCTCTCCTCAAAGGAAAAACACATCCTCTCACACTTATGAAATGAGCTACAGAGCTGCTCACTGCAAAGCAGCAGCCACTCCAGGATTTTAAAAGTTTATGCTATCATCATACCAAGGGAATTCTCATCTACTTCTCTGAGATTTGTAGCTGGGCCATGCTGAGAACACATTCAGCTCAAACAGTACATACACAAGTGCCACCCATGTTGGTAACTGAGGTCAGAATCCAGATGCTCAGATGTTGAGACACTGGGTCAGATCTAAATTTAAGTAACAGTTTCGTATTTGCAAGTAAGATTAGAGCAAGTCTTCAAAAGTGGAATTATCCTGATGCTTGTGTACATAAAGAGAACATCAAACTGCCATACATGCTACACTACACCCAACCACAGCGTGAACTGTTCCAATTTAGTGCCAAACACAACGGCAAGGCCACACTCAGCATGAATCAAGCTATGATTGTGAGGAGAGTTTTATAGAACACTTTCAGGCATGGCAGAATATCCTTCCCTACCAGCGTGATGGCTGAATGAGCTGCACCCAGTAACACGTTACATGCCTTATGCATCTCTTCCAGCCCTTCAGAGAAATTGATATAGAGAATGCCACAGTAATATTACTGTGGAACATACTTACCAAGAGATCTTTGCAACTCAGGAAAGCTTGGAGGGGGATTTTCCTATATCCAGTTTTACTGAGGTAAACAGGAATTATTCTAACGACTTGGCTAAGAGATGATCAAACCTCTAGTAAATGTTACTTAAGTGTTCCAAAGCTATTCAGGTCATTCACTAAGAGTTAAGTGATAACTTAAATATTGAGCAGGAAACCTTTGTACTTAGTTTGTGGACTAAAGTCTGAGTTAAATCCTATTATTGCAAGCCAGCAAAACGCAGTCATGCTAGGCTTTGCAAAGATGGTGGAGGAAAAGGGATTCCTTCTAGATTCCTTAAAAACTGGAATATAGTGTAACAAAAGACAACCACGGAAACTCTAACAGTCTGAATATCTCTACAAAATTCTCCTCTGGACCATGAACTGGCCTTGGAAGACTCAAAATAACAAAGGCAAAGAGTTGTACAGCTGAAAGTGTTGTGAAAGACCGAAGGAACTCCATCCAGAACAAATTGTCATGGCCATTGACACAGAAGGATGATACTGGGTAACTCTGTTACCTGGTGCCGTTTTATCAGTGAGAAAGTTTTAGTGCCTCTAACAACCTGGACTTAATTAGTCCAGTAAGGTGGTGCTTTTCCCCTTAACAGATCAGGACTGATTATTGGTATACACCAATAACATATCCCTTTATTTCTGTACTGGGCCACCCTCAATCCTAGATGTGGGGCAGACTGCCCTGCAAGTTTCTATTACCTGAATGATCTCCTGATTTCTTTTTTCAGTATCCGTAACCTCATGCTGAGATTCAAATTCCAGTTTTTGAAAGGCAGAGGGTCAATCTACCAACGCGAGACTCAACAACTGTCCCTTCCAATTATTTAGTGCTTGAAATTGAGACTTTCACAGAGTGCAACCTAGCAGTCATACATAAATCATCACTTATTACCACACTTTGAAAACAGCTGTGTTAGTGGGATTTTACTTCTCAGCAGATTTTACTTTCCCTTGATCTTCCACTTTTTTGATGGCAGCTTGGATAGCTTCTTGATCACCCAGAAACTGGTGAGGGCCCAGAGGGTGCAGATTCTCATCAAGTTCAAGAAGTATGGGCACACCAGTGGGGAGAGTAACATTGATGATGTCCTCATCGGAGATGCCTGCCAAAGGAAAAAAAAAAAAAAACACACACACAGATTTACACCTAGTGCACAGCTTCCTAATTGCCTGCCTAGCTCAGCCTCATTTCTGTTATAAAACAGTCAAAGACATATTCCAGCCTCCATCAACAACACCAGCTTCTCAAGGCTCAATTCCCAGCTAGACCACAGTTTGGTTAGCGCTTTAGGCACAGCTGAAGGAGGGAATTCCCATCAAGATGAAGACAGTTTCTTTGTTTTTCAGTCTACACGTGAAATAAACAGGAAGAGATTACCCTGGAGACTATACCTTTCCTTTAATACAGGACATTGAGGACAATAGGTTCTCCTCCGTATCTTCCCAACTCATGCATCACAAAAGAGGATTAGAATCCACAAGTGCTACTCCAACATGAAACAACCTCTGCTAAGCAACCAATACAAACAGCCTCTTTAAAAAGGCAGGATATCAAGGTTAATTTTTCTCTTAAATTCTCTATGCAAAGCTTCTCACACAAGCTGTCTTAAAAATCAGTATTTAATTCGTCCAGTGTAAGGATCACTGTTTGCCCACATCCGATTTCTCAAAAGCAAGTTTATAGTGTCTTCCCTACAGTACTATTCTCAGAATTACTAGATACAGGATATTCATTTCCACTTTCAAATGAGGGAGAGAGGAAGAAAAGAAGGAAGAAAGTCAACTTATACAACTTGGAGCACTTTCCTGTATTTTTCCACTTCAGAGAAGTAACATGTACCTGGGAAGAAAATTTATTTTACCTAGCTGTGCTTAATTAAAATATTCTGGGGCTCTAATCTCAATGAAATTGCTGCTTATTTTTACATCAAACACACAAGTGGCCAAAGCATCCAAGTGAATTTTGAGATCAAACCTCCTAGTAAAGTTTCCACACAAGGTCTAAGTAGTTGCATTAAAAAGCAGTGACTGCAGAGATATTATTCCTCAGAAATTTCAGGCAAAACAAAGCTACTGTCATTGGGAATGTCAATATTTCTTTTTTCTCCCCTTTTTAGAAGCACTGAGGTCACAGCAACAGCCTACTGTTGTAAAGCAGGACAGCTTCGAGTCATTCGTGCTTAGAAAATACACACAATTAAGCTTCTAAAATGATGACACCATATAAACTAGACCAAGGTGCATGAAGAAAACATCCTCTCGAACAGCTGACAAAACAGATGGTTCTCAGAACATATGGATGCAAATTTACCAGGGACTTTCACATTAAGTAGAAAAGCAGAGCCAACATACTAACAGGAAAACCCACAAAGTCAAGCCACTCAGCAACAGTGGGATGACAACAGGTCAGAAAAAACAGAACTAATCATGAGGTGAGAATCATTTTATGCCCCTGCTCAGAGATTACACAAGCATGCAACTTTTGCAGTGACCTATCCTTGTTTTGATTAGGCCAAGTAGTTCAGCTGTAGATAAGCCCTAAGTTTCAGAAGAGCATGGAGCAAGAGAAACAGACAAACCCTTGCAAGAGGCTTACACCTTGTTACATCCTGAGCCATCAGTCCATTAAAATAAAAGGCATACTCTGCCAGTTTAGCAATCCCTGTATACAAGGGATAAATAATTCACCTGTTGTAGGCAGCAGAATCAGAGACCTACAAAAAGCCACGAAAGGAGCATCTATAATTTTAAAACCGCACACAAATCAATGGGAAAACTACTGAGTCTATTTACCAGGCACAAGCACTATTCTCAAGGACTTTGGTTTGCAAAACAAGCAGCCAAGCTGCCTGAGCTCTTATTTCAAGGATTCTTAAACATATTAAATTTTAACAACATACACGTCACCATGTATCCACAGAGAATCTGGCCCTAGGAACTGTTCTGCCCACCTCTCAGATTCAGTCTCCCAGACTAAACCATTCAGATACACACAGAGCAGATGAAGTCATGCAGGAGAATTTAGGCAAACCACATAATGTGGTCAGCAGCCAGGATATTTAAAGGTTTCCTCTAAAGATGGATTAAACAAAATAGCTGTAGCTACATGGATTCAGAAATGCATTTTACTGTTTTTACAGAACACAAAGTGACCACACCAATGTCAACTAGTATTGACTTACAAAGCAAAACAGTGCAGTCTAGGATAAACAAGCTGCAGCAAGCATGTTGGCTTTCTCCTTGAGATTTTTCCTCGTACGGAAATGTTGCCTCACAGCCAGAAGGCAGGAACTGCAAGTTGAAGTCAGATGAAAATCCTAAAGAAACAATTGTGTCCTGTTGTTTTATTTCAGCACTGTTACTGTATTTGTATAGTATTTCTGTTCTTCAGGAAGCAAGATGCTGATCAGGCTTGTCACACAAGCTCTTCAGTTGCAGGCAAAATGCACACAGAACACTCCCCACCCAGCAGGCTAGGAGAACGATAACGAGATCACATCTTACACTCTGGCCATCACAAGCACGAGCTAACTGCTATCCAGTTACTTCATGTGCTGTAACTATAGCCAAGTGACCTTTTCTTGCGCTTCATCTGAGCTTGCCTGTGTCACAGCCCCACCTTATCTCACAGGGAAGGAGGGTGAAATCAGGGCAAGGACTCAACCGCAGACTACAAGGTGCAATGGGAAATTAGACCACTGAAGAAGCAACACTCTTCCCTCCAGTATAGTACTGAAGCCTGGGTCTCAGCAGTGTTACTAGAAGCAGTCTTTCCCCGAAAAGGTTTAAAACTAAGGTCTTACCTACTTATAGCCATGAGAACCCACAGACATTACTGAAGTACTCAGGATGTCTTCCTCAGGACCCCAGATAAAATGCTGACTGGGCAACTACATTCCTCAAGTGGACACCTCCCATGTTCTCTCTCATGAGCACCTGTTAAACATTGTTCCTTAATAGCAGCTGTACAGCAGGAAGCAGTTAGGTACATGAACATTGTAGAATTTGGTAAAGCACTTATTACAAAAAAGATCTTTCCAAATCACATTCAGAATTCTTTCCCAGCTCACTCACACTCCATTTAACTGAACTGAGTGATCAAACACACAGAGACCAGCAGTATCTCTGTGCAAGCTTAAGAATTCCCCTTTACCTGGTAGTCCATGAAGTGCACCCTGAAGAGTCCTATAGAGGCAAACCCCATTGGGCTTGATTTTGAGCACCTACAGCCAACTTCTACAAGGGCTGGCTCAGCTTCTCCCTCCCTCTCACTTTACCATGGTTCTTACCAACTTCCTTCCTTCTATTCTTATGGTCAGAGCAACACAATAACCACAACAGCTATTGAGAAAGCTACACCCCTCCTCCCCTGCATGTCAACTACATCTGAGGCCAGATGATTCATCCAACAAAACACACAAGATCATATGCATAAATTCAGCCACAATGGGCTTGTTCTAGAACTGGTGCTTTGTAATTGAGATCCAAATCAGGTCATAGCATCCTTCCCACAAGCGTAATGAAAATACTGAAGCTTTAGCCTAAGTTAAATATTCAGGGCCAGATTCTGCCCCCCCTGCAGGCTGGCAGAGCACCTAGCTTCAGTAGGCACAGTGTTAGAATCTGGCTATTAATCTTTACAGAACGTTAGCTCACTGTGCAGATTTTAAGAAAAAAAGGAAGAAGATGGTCTACAACCATGGCTGCAGCGTATTATCTACATCTGTTTTACCCTTATGTCTGCAAAGATTTTCTATGCCCATATTGGGTTTGCCTGGCAAGGCTTTGGTAGTGCGGGGGCTACAGGGGTGGCTTCTGTGAGAAGCTGCTAGAAGCTTCCCCTATGTGCGACAGAGCCAATGCCAGTCAGCTTCAAGACAGACCCGCCCCCACCCCTCCTCAAAACCACACCCGCCACTGGCCAAGGCCAAGCCCATCCACAACAGTCGTAGCGCCTCTGGGATAACACAGTTAAGGGGAAACAAAAAAACTGCTGCACAGCAGCAGCCAGAGGAGAGAAGTGAGAATATGTGAGAGAAACAGCCCTGCAGACACCAAGGTCAGGGAAGGAGGAGGGGGAGGGGGAGGAGGTGCTCCAGATGCTGGAGCAGAGATTCCCCTGCAGCCCATGGTGAAGACCATGGTGAGGCTCCCCTGCAGCCTGTGGAGAAGACCATGGTGTAGTATGTTGTCCCCCTGCAGCCCATGAAGGACCCCACACCGGAGCAGGTGGATGCACCCAAAGGAGGCTGTGACCCCATGGGAAGCCCGTGCTGGAGCAGGCTCCTGGCAGGACCTGTGACCCTGTGGAGAGAGGAGCCCATGCTGGAGCAGGTTTGCCGGCAGGACTTGTGACCCTGTGGGGGACCCTTGCTGGAGCAGTCTGTTCCTGAAGGACTGCACCCTGTGGAAGAGACCCACGCTGGAGCAGTTCATGAAGAATGGCAGTCCCTGGGAAGGACCCACGTTGGAGAAGTTCACGGAAGACTGTCTCCCATGGGAGGGACCCCACGCTGGAGCAGGGCAAGAGTGTGAGGAGGAAGGAACAGCAGAGACAATGTGTGATGAACTGACCACAGCCCCCATTCCCCTTTCCCCTGCACCACTTGGGGGGAGGGAGGAGGTAGAGAAATGAAGAGTGAAGTTGAGCCCAGGAAGAAGGGACAGGTGGGGGGAAGGTGTTTTTAAGATTTGGGCTTATATCTCATTACCATACTCTCATTTGACTGGCAATAAACTAAAATTAATTTCCCCGAGGCAAATATGTTTTGCCCATGACAGTAATTGGTGAGTGATTTCTCCCCTGTCCTTATGTCAACCCACAAGCCTTTTATCATATTTTTTCTCCCCCTGTCTTGACATTGTATTGGGTCTGGCTGAGATGGAAGTTAATTTTCCCCACAGCAGCCCTCATAGTGCTGTGCTTTGTAGTGGTAGCTAGAAAGATGTTGACAATACACCAGTGTTTTAGCTACTGCTGAGCAGTGCTTGCACAGCATCAAAGTTGTCTCTCCAACATTTCCCCCCACCCACCCAGCAGGCTAGGGGTGGGCAAGATCTTGGGAGGGGACATAGCCAGGACAGCTGACCCAAACTGACCAAAGGGATATTCCATATCAGACAACATCTGCTCAGCAATAAAAGTTAAGAGAAGGGCGGGGGGGCATTCGTTATTATGACATTTGTCTTCCAGAGCAACCCAAGCAACCGCTATGCGTACTGAAGCCCTACTTCCCAGGAAGTAGCTGGACATCACCTACTGATGCGAAGTAGAGAATAAATCTTTTGTTTTCCTTTGCTTCCGCGTGCGGCCTTTGCTTGTGCTTTATTAAACTACCTTTATCTTGACCCATGAGTTTTTTCCATCTTATTTTCTCCCCCGTCGTCCTGCTGAGGAGGGGAGTGATAGAGCAGCTTGGTGAGCACCTGGCATCCAGCCAAAGTCAACTCACCACAGTCCTTTTTGGCACCCAACGTGCCAAATTAACTCCATCTCAGCCAGACTCAATACAACATCATTACATAAACAGCTCCTGATCACAGTCTGACTTTGTAGTCATTACTGAGGCCATCCCCGTATGACAATATAGGAAAGCAAACCATGAATCTATCATATTCCCATGCAATAGAGAAATCCAGCCTGCCTTAAAACTCCTCAAGCAGTCCAAGATTAAATAGGCTGAAAGAGGTGCGAGATTGCTTCTACCAGCACTAGCTATCAACTATGGCATTAGGTGAGAAAGTCCCAGAAATCTTGGAGTAAAGACCCAGGCTGCACCACCACAACCAGGAACTCAAGGCAACAGTGTGACAAATAGAGTTCTCCGAGCATACAACTCCGGAGCCTACCAGCATACATATTTCCCTTGGACAGAGCTCTGGCAAAAGGTTTCCATCCCTGGCTGAAGCACTATTGAGAGTCCCTCAAGCCCAAGTTTGTAGAAACCAGTCGCTAACAACTCATGTCTGAAACCTTTCTGTCCCAGCTGCAGGTCCTGGTCAGGCTGTTCCAGCCCTTTTGCACTATAATCAGGCACTTACCACCCCCTTCCCTGAGCTGATTCAAACCACCAACATGACAGAAAACTACTCACTCCTTGCTGTTTCTTGCCAGTTTACAGGCAAAGTTAATTTGCAAAAAGGCCCAACAAGGTCCCAAGAAATAAGCAGCAGAAGCACAGAGCAAAGACTGGGATGCATGATGGGGAGTGCAAGACCATTTCATTTCAGCAGCAGTGAGTTGTTAGATCTCAAGCTGGTTTCTGTAACTGCCCTCAGACACCACAGTCACATAAGCAGTATTTCCTTAAGAAGGTCGAGCAGCAAAATCAGTAAAATAATCTTATTAGGTAGTCCTCAACACACAATCCACACCAGGACTCACTAATGTGGATTGTGCTCCAGCATGTAAACTACTGGAATACTGTAACTGCACAAGTTACAGCAATGCAAAAAAGTAAAATCCTTCAGGGCACTGCTCTCCCTGCTCACCAACTGGTGAGATCAGCATCAGGCCTTCCCCCTCACCATGTTCTGTCTGCGAGCCCAGTTCCAGAGCTCTGTCCCAGCTCTGTGACCACAACCAGACAAGTGCAATGGGTGCAACATCTGCGTATTTCTTCAAGAGTCTAGGTAACTCCTCCCCTCCATTTTTCACCCTGAGGTTATCACGCTCAGTGACCACCACACCATATCCAAGAGATGGCAACCGTTCCACAGGGAGGAAGTTCTAGAACCAGGCCTTCCACAATACCCTGTCTTGAGGTACTTAACGCCAGTCCTCAGGTTAAATGGTCAGGAGGGAAGAAAGAAGTCGAGACAGTCCATCAATCCTTCTGCCAGTCATCTGGAAAATTAGTCCATTAGACTTGGTCTCCAATTAGTACTTCAACAGAAACAGGGCAAGCTGGTCACGACTATTACACTAATGTTGTCTTTACTATGGGACACTGCTAAGAGGGTCTCAATCTAAAGTATCAGTTATTAGACAAGAGAGCAAACTATTTCTCCTTCAAAGAATTGAGGAAATCACCTGTAAATAGATCCTGTGCATCTAGGATGCTTATTTAGCAAATTTTAGCAACTGATGCTTTCATAATCAATATGATGTTTCAGCATCCAAAGTAAGATCTATCGAACAAGTCTGCTATGGTTACTTTAAATACCGTCCTCATTAACATCCTGTTGCTGTTGCTTTTTCAATGCATCAGATATGGTATACCATGAAAGAAAAAATATGGCCTAAAGACCTGAGTTACAGGTCATGGTCCATACCAATAGGTGTCACAGAACAAACAGTTGCTAAGTTATGACAAGACACTTCCATCAGCAAGCACAAGACTGCTGCCTGAAGAAGAAAATGTTACTTTTAGAGAGCCTTTCCAATGCTAACAACATATAACGAAAACTGTCCTCTTGCTCTGCCAACTTCTGACTCCTGCTAAAGCATCAGCTGTCCTGACTGTTCCAGCAATGCAAAGAGTACTCAGCAGAGTCAGACCTGTAGAGACACACACACATTTTTTAAATAACTAAAAAAATGAGTGGACACAATCCAGTCTGTGCATACTTGCAACTACACCTCTAGTAGGCTGCATTCATACATGTATAATCACTAAATTCTACTCTACCCACAGACAAAGAAATTAATACAGTCCATCTTCCCGTTTAGGATGACCTAAACTAGAAGCCATGTCATTAAAGAAGAGGTGGGGGGGGGAAAGAATCTAGCAATGCCTTAAAGATAAATCACAACCTTTTCAAGTCCCAAATAAATAAGCAACCTTATGCTAAGCTACCAACTTACCTGTTTATTAGTAGGCATTTTCTATATCGGGAAATAATACAGTATTTTCATAAGCTTTAGAAAGTACCTACTCTCTGCAGAACTCCCTGTCACAGCAGCTTTTTTAAGTAAAGAATTATCAGGAATGAAGCCTCAAAAGTGACCCACCACAGTAACAGTCAAGAATGTCTTCCACAACCCAAGACAAGCACTTTATTCTGCTGTGTTATAGCAATGCTTGTTTAATGAACAGATTATGACTTAAATCTTTCTGACAAAGCAACTGATTGAATCCAAAAATAGTTAGAGCCTGAAGAGTATCTACCTAGACCAACCGCAAAGTTAGTTTGGATACAGTAGTTTAAAATGAGCAGTGAGAAACAAGGGGAAAGCATCTGGCTCTTTTCTTAACTACATTAACCTAACTAATTCTCTCCCCCTTCCACATCCCCCAGTTTGATTCCTGTTCCAATAGGCCAACTTTTTACTTTCTCCTTGGAGACCACAGACATTAAGTGTTACATTGCCCAGGTAAGTAATATACACTACAGAACAAGATGTAAAGCTCTAAGCAGTTGAATAAGGGGAAGAGGGAAAGGCTAAAAGACGACACTTACCTTCCACATGCTTGAGCAATGCCCTGCTGCTGTTACCATGAGCAGATATAAGGATCATTTTGCCACTTTTCAGTTCTGGCACTATCTTTTCATTCCAATAAGGAAGGAGTCTATCAAGCACATCTTTTAGACTTTCAGCCCTTGGGAGATTATCCTGAGAGACATCACTGCATTTATACCGGCGATCATTGTATATCTCTTCATAGTAAGGATGAGATTCAGTTATGGGAGGTGGGGTAACATCATAGCTTCTCCTCCATATTTTCACTTGCTCCTCCCCATGATTCAGAGCCATTTCTGCTCTGTTGAGACCAATCAGTGCACCATAGTGACGTTCATTCAGTCGCCAGGAACTCTGAATGGGAACCCACTCTTGGCCCATCTCTTCCAGGATAAGCCACGCAGTCTGAATGGAGCGGCTGAGTACAGAGGTGAAGACGAGGTCAAACTCAAAGCCCAGTGCTTTAAGGTGTTTGCCACAGTTCTGAGCTTCCTTTATCCCATCACTGCTCAGCTTCTGGTCCACCCAGCTGCAGAAGCGATTCTCCTTGTTCCAGGCTCCTTCCCCATGTCTTAAGAGAACAAGCCTGTACTTAGCCATTTTGGTTGCAGCTTAGCACAGATGACAACTGGTCTGGCATCTAATAATGATGCATCTGGACAGAGATAGGAGACAGATACATCAAACATCCCACAGATAATGCATTACAAATAGTAATATGGCAGCAAAGAGTAGACAACTATCAGAATCAAAACAACCAAAGAATCAAGTGTCTGCTGAGCATGTTATCTTTGAGGTCTCCTGGCTTTGAATTCCTTCCCACCCTCATGTGGGAGGAACAGCACCATCCTCCACCCAGCTTGTTGCAACTAGCCCACTTAACCAATTGATTAGTAGCAGATTTATACAAGCTGTTCCTGCCTACAGATTTCCCTCAAGTGCTTACACAGAGCCTCACTCAACATCAGAAGCTCCCAACCAGGGAAGCAGATCTCACTCTCACTGGTGAACTTTTTAGAGGTAAGACATGGAGCCCAAGCTCGTAAGAGCTGCCCGGACCCACATTGGCTCCAAGGGAACGCAGGCACAGATAACAACTGTGATCCTCGGCCAGAGCAATTGGAGAGGAGGACCACAGAATTGGAACTCGCAATACACAGAACCTTATTAGCTTTCCTCAAAGGAGATGTCACCATAATCATGCTCTGCATAACTTGTTTCCTCACATCCCCATCTTGTCCTGCTAATTATGCCAGTCTCTGCTTGATTTTTTTCCCCAGGCCACCTCCTCCATCATTCCTCCACACTCAAGTGCCACAACACAGCCTCTCTGGGATGCAATGCACAACTAGTAAGTCCTCATTTCATTGAATCCAGAAGCGATCTCACAGATTATTCCATCCCCTTCATGACTTTCAAGTATATTTTTCCCTCTTGTGTCTATGAATTACAGTGCCAGGTTGTCAGGCTCCAGGATTATGTTTTTACTTTTGCAGTGGGCACAAATGGTGTATTTTCTGTCCTCATTAAATAACAGACAGCTACACATTCATAAGGTCAAACAGCATCTTTCTCTGCTCCTGTTGACTAAGCAACACCACCTCTGGATTGTCTTCAATGGGAGATGGATTTTGACCACTCACCCAAGCTTTTGCTATGTGGCCAAGAATCTTCTAGCAGACTGTGTGATGCCTGAAACGTCCGTCTAACACAGTATTGCAACTCTGAAAGCTGCACCTGATCACTTTGACCTGAGATGGCACAGACTAGATAGCAATGGACAGAGCAGGGGAAAAAATATAAAAATACAACACTCTGCACTGGGAGGACTGCTGTATACTCAAATGAACATTAAGTGCTCTCAAAACCATGGACAGTGGGAGACTGAGGTCTGATTTCTGCACACACAACTTTGGACTAGATTTCCATAAGACACATGCTTATGGGAGCTCCCATCATCTCGTATCAGTTGAGCTGCTTCAGTCACACTCCAAGTCTCTCAGATTCAGGCCCACTGTGACCCTGAATTAGGACAGTAGGACGGGTTAGGCCCATGCACTCTGGGTTTTGGGAAGCACCCAGCACACTATCAGCATTCATTTTTACCAGACTTTCAAAAAGTGTATAGAAAAGTTGAATTCATTAACAGCCTCAGTAATTTGATCTTGACTGTAACAGCAGCTTAGTTCTCCTTTACTCCCACAGAAGACAGACACTACATCACACAAGGACACTATGGAATACCTCCCCAGCTCTAACTTCTGACTACTGGTACAGCTCAGGATTAAAAAGCCTTTGAGGACTGACAGATTTTTACAGAATATCAGGAGGTATTGTCTGACACACAATAGACAGTTGGTAACTACAAGGGAAAGTCTTCTGTGATTTCACGCAAAGGAGGCCTGCATTTTATGTATGACAAGGAACATCTCAGTCAAAATCCCTTGCACGTTCCACTTTTCCCACTCACAATAATCAGTTGCACATTAATCAAAGAAATCAGTTCTTGTTGGGATTCAGGTGTCATGTCACATCAGATATGATACTAAACTACACCCTTTAAGATACCAGGTATATAACAAAATGGAGTATCAGACAGCATTTCCATCTAAAGCCAAAGTTATCTTTCTACAACATCCCAAAGATACAATTAAAAATTGCAGTGTGTTCACAGCATGAACTACTACACAAAGCATAGCCCCATAAAAAGCTCTATCTCTGCAGATACCTCCTTGTTCAGTTTAGTTGATTATGTAATCTGTTCCTGTGGATAATACAATTTACAAAACCAAATTAAGACCCTGTCCTGGTTTCAGGTGGGACAGAGTTGATTTTCTTCCTGGTAGCTGGCATAGTGCTGTGTTTTGGATTTAGTATGAGAAGAATGTTGACGACACACTGATGTTTTAGTTGTTGCTAAGTGGTGCTTACACTAGACAAGGACTTTTCAGCTTCCCATGCTCTGCCAGGTGCATGAGAAGCTGGGAGGGGGCACAGCCAGGACAGCTGATCCAAACTGACCAAAGGGATATTCCATACCATATAACATCATGCTCAGAATATAAACTGGGAGGAGCTGGCCAGGGATAGGCAATTGCTGCTTGGGGACTGGCTGGGCATCAGTCAGTGGGTGGTAAACAGTTGCATCACTTGTTTTTCCTGGATTTTGTTCCTCTCTCTCATTGTTTTTCTCTTCATTACAATTTATCATTGTTGTTATTATTATTTTATTTCAAGTATTAAACTGTTCTTATCTCAATCCATGAGTTTTCTTACTTTTGCCCTTCCAATTCACTCCCCTATCTCACTGGGGGGGAGGGTAAGCAAGCAGCTGTGTGGTGCTTAGTTGCCAACTGCAGTTAAACTGCAACAGTCCTTTTTGGCACCCAACATGGGGCTCGAAGGGCTGAGATAACAACAGATATGACCGTGTTAAAATAAATTTGTTACAAGCATTTAATAGTCCCCGAGTCACAATGTTGTTTTATTTGTTCACACGGTTGTGTTATGTAAATCCTTACCCACAGTATGTATTCCCTGTGGTGCTGTTTATCACTTCTGGGAGATGGATCAGGATTATCACTTTGCTGTACTGTATAACATCAGCTTCTGATACGATAATATTATTGCTAAAAAAACTAATTTGGTATCTGTATTTGGTATTGCTGTCCTCTCTGTACCTCGGGTGCCATCTCTTGGAAATTATCAATAATGACACTCTCCACCTTTTCTCCCTGGAGAACCAATCTATGGGAAGACAGAGGGGGATGCTTTCCCCCGTTCTTTCACCTTCACTTTCTCCTTTAGGCTAGTCACACCAGCTTTCAAGAATTTTTACCATCCTAGGGATGTTCAAGCCAGCATGCTCCTATTGCTACGTCTCCTGAACATGTTTCAGGTCTTGTTTAGGGTTAAACAACTATTGAAAAAAAATCATCCAGAGATCTGCCCCAAGGCTGGATGGTCATGGGTAGCATGGCATGTGGGAGAATACAAGCAGGTACTTAAAGAACTTCTCACCTCCAGTGGTCTGGAACTTCACTCCCAAACAACTACAGGATCCTGATGAAGTGATAGAATGCTTGAAAAAAAAAAAATGCCATGGTTACTCCAAAGAGGCACAACTCCAAGTCACAGAAACTGCTGAAGGAGAAGGTGAATCGAGCCAAAGTACGTCACGTAGATGCTCACGTACCCAAGAGTCAGGCCACTGAAGAACACTGAAACAACGAGCAGGTAGGTCAGGCTGCTAAGATTGAAATGGCTCAGGTGGATCTGGACCAGCAACATAAGGGTGAATTATTTATAGCTCAGTGGGCCCAAGACACCCCGGGCCATCAAGGAAGAGATGCAACATATAGATGGGCTCATGATCGAGGGGTGGACTTGACCATGGATGCTATTGCACAGGTTATCCATGAATGCGAAACATGTGCTGCAATCAAGCAAGCCAAGCGAGTAAAGCCTCTCTGGTATGGAGGACAATGGTTGAAACATAAATACGGGGAGGCCTGGCAGATTGATTATATCACGCTCCCACAAACCCGACAAGGCAAGCACCATGTGCTCGCCATGGTGGAAACAACCACCGGATGGCTGGAAACATACCCTGTGCCCCATGCCACTGCCCAGAACACTATCCTGGGCCTTGAAAAGCAAGTGCTATGGCAACACGGCACCCCAGAAAGAACCGAGTCAGACAAGGGGACTCATTTCTGAAACAACCTCCTAAACATCTGAGCCAAGGAGCATGGCATTGAGTGGGTATATCACATCCCCGACCATGCACCAGCCTCCGGGAAAATCGAACGATACAATGCACTGCTGAAGACTACACTGAGAGCAATGGGACATTCAAACATTGGGATACACATCTAGCAAAAGCCACCTGGTTAGTCAACACTAGGGGATCTGCCAATCAAGCTGGCCCTGCCCAATCAAAACTTTTACATACTGTAGAAGTGGATAAAGTCCCTGCCATGTACATAAGAAATACACTGGGGAAGACAGTCTGGGTTATTAGTGCCTTGGGGAGAGGTAAACGCATTCGTGGGATTGCTTTTGCTCAACGACCTGGGTGCACTTGGTGGGTGATGCAGAAGGATAGGGGAAGTCCAGTGTGTCCCTGAAGGGGATTTGATTTTGGGTGAGAATAGCCAGTGAATTAAATTGTATGATGTTAACTGCTATATAATACTGTGTATCATCACTTCTATGGTTGCTATATGCCATATCAATGGTATTACAGTAAGAATCACCCAGATTAATGAAGAATGAACTTTGATGAAACTGAGCAAAGTGCAGCAGTGATGCTTCAGCACGCAGCAATCTAACACCACACACCATCTCTCCTGCCCTAAAAAGACTGTTATGACAGATGGAGCCTAAAGTCATCAACTAAATGAACTCAACAGACATTTTAGAGGGATGGCCCATAGCCTAAGGAAATTATATCTGTGCATATATACCAAAAGACAGGAAAAGCGGTGGTGATTAATTGGAATGTATTGGAAAGTGTAGGACCTGGGCATGACATAGATAGTATAGAATAAAGGGTGGACACTGTCCTGGTTCCAGCTGGGATAGAGTTAATTTTCTTCCTGGTAGCTGGCATAGTGCTGTGTTTTGGATTTAGTATGAGAAGAATGTTGACGACACACTGATGTTTTAGTTGTTGCTAAGTGGTGCTTACACTAGACAAGGACTTTTCAGCTTCCCATGCTCTGCCAGGTGCATGAGAAGCTGGGAGGGGGCACAGCCAGGACAGCTGATCCAAACTGACCAAAGGGATATTCCATACCATATAACATCATGCTCAGTACATAAACTGCGAGGAGTTGGCCAGGGATAGGCAATTGCTGCTTGGGGACTGGCTGGGCATTGGTCAGCAGATGGAGAGCAGTCGCATCATTTGTTTTTCCTGGGTTTTGTTCCTCTCTCATTGTTTTCCTCTCCATTACAATTTATTATTATTGTTGTTATTATTATTTTATTTCAAGTATTAAACTATTCTTATCTCAACCCACAAGTTTTCTTACTTCTGCCCTTTGAATTCTCTCCCCCATCCCACCCGGGGCAGGGAGAGTGAGCAAGCAGCTGTGTGGTGCTTAGTTGCCAACTGGGGTTAAACCACAACAGACCCAATACAAAAAACCAAGACCCAACAATAGAGGAGATGCACCTGTTCACACATGTTCTTAGTTGGGTACTTTTGGCCAAAACCACTTAAAAACTCAATGATTATAACAAAAAAAAAAAAGACTCATACAAAGACCTAAGATCATCTGGGGACCATAAACTCCAGTTCAGTCATATAAAAGATTAGGCAGAATCACCATTCTCAAATAAATTTAGAAAGGACTGGCAGTCACAGCATTGTTTAAATATCAGTCCACTTATGGAAGCATTTAAGCTAGAAAGCCTTAGAGCAACACATGGAAATAATCCTACTCACCTTTCCTATGGCAAAGGAACAACCTACACAAATCCCAGCACAGACTCAAGAGCTGCTTTATACAGAGGCCACCACACACTCTTGGCTAGTTACCTGCAGGAAGAGAATAAACACCAAGTGCTCACACAGAAAGAAACCACAAGTGCAAATGCTTATGCCAACCATCATTTGCTCTCAGAGCTGTAAGAAAATTGAGCACACACCCCTTGTATGAGCTGGGAAAGCTACCAATTTCCTTCTCCCAAAAAGATGCAAATGCACATCTCCTGCATTTCCAACAAGGGAAAGTTTCTTGTCTCCCAGATGCCCCAGGATATGATTTGCTCCCCAAGATTTGTTTAGACTGCAATTATCATAGCTCTAGTCCACAGAAATCTACCAAAACTTCTGGGACACCATGGACAATACAGACAGCAGACTTGGACCCAGCATAAAATGGAAACAATACAGGCTCTGGCTCAGAACAGAGCAAGGTGCTTAGGATAACGTCTTACATCAGCAGAGTTTTTAGCCAAGCACAGTTTTAAAGTCTAACTGCCAGAGGTGGTAATTTCCAGGACTCCTCACTCCAACCACCGCAAGCTCACCTGCTCAGCCCTTTTATAAAACGTCCCTGTGCGGTGCACCTACGCCTCTTAGCCTTCCCTAAGAACGGAGAGGGTTACCCAGGAGCGGGGCAGCAACTCCCATGCACAAACACACGAGGCTGCCCAGGAGCGGGGCAGCAACTCCCCCCCACACACAAAGACCCACGCGAGGTGCCTCACAGCTACTGCCCCTGGCC